ATAAGGTTTCAAAATGTTGTTTAAGTCAAAATATCAAAATATCAATTTTCAGGTTTTCATGTTTTGGACTATTTTGAAAAATGATGATATTTTTCATTTGGGAAGTCCTTTTTCAAAACCAGTCGTTGTAGCATGTTTATTATCATGTCTACAATCATTCCCCAAAGTTTTACATTTTTTGGAATTTATTTGATATTTTTAAACAGCATTTCAAAATCAGATAAACAGTTTTCATATCAGTTTTCGGTCGACCGCACCGGTCGACCGAACCCGAGGTCAGAAGTTCACTGGGCGACAGAAAGCCTGTCGGTCGACCGGTCCGGTCGACCGATGAAAATTTTCGGTCGACCGACGAATTTTTCGGTCGACCGACGAGTGTTTTCTTAACTCTTTTCCCTAGCAATTTCATTATTGATTTATCATATATTAATTATTGCTAGTTTGCTATTCGAGTTAGATTTCATTTTACTCATTGTTACACACACCCACATTGAGCTTATAGTATTTGCATACATAGTATAGTTGGGTGGTGAGAGATTGTAACCTTGAGTTGTGCTTTCATTGTGTTCTCATCTATTGTAGAGAACAAACTTATATTTGTTACATTGTGAGTGTTGTAAGGTTTTCGGTGAGCTAGAAACCAAGTGTGTAGTGAGGTTTTCGGTGAGCTAGAAACCGAGTGTGAGGAGTGACGTTGATCGGTGAGCGTTGAAAACCGATACTGTGAGGTGTAAACGTTATTCGGGTGAACGTAGAAAACCCGGTTGATAGTGGATTTCTCCCCGGGAGTGGGGAGCGGAGACGTAGGACGGAAGGTCCGAACTCCGTGATCATATCTTGTGTTTGAGTGTGCTTTGGCGTTTATTTATACTTGTGTTTATAATTCTTGTTGCCATTGTCATTAGCTCATCATTTATATGATCCACTATCTAGTTCATATTGTTTACCCTTGTGTTAGTTTATATATCCTTGCATATATCATATAGTATACCTCTTTGCTAGGATATATCACCTTGTGTATATTGCATATTCTTGCACATAACCCTTTGTAAATATTGTTGTATTTCATACTTGCTAGGATAACGTATTAATTGTTTTTAATTGGCATTTAAATCGGATTAGATTAGCATAAGACCCTAATCACCCCCCCTCTAGGGTCTAACAATTGGTATCAGAGCTTGGTGCTCTTTGATTTAAGGTCTAATCGCCTTGAGTTAAAGATCCAAGTTATCTTTTTGTGCTAATCTTGTTTTGATTGCATTTGCATCTTGCTTGCATATTTTTACAAATTATGAATATGAATGATGCATCTTGTTTAGGCTATGATTCTAGTGTTGCTCCTAGATTAGACAATTTCCCCTATGCCCAATGGTGTGTTAGATTTAAACTATTTGTTAGATCTAAACATTTTGATTTATGGGAAATTATAGATGATGCTTATATTGTGCCCATTTTGGAGAAATCCAAGTGGAACAGAAATGATCATCGCATGTTTACCATGAACAACATTTTGTTAGAATATTTGTTAAATGCTTTTAACTCATCTATGTCTAACAAGTTTGTTCATTTTGATAGTGCTTACACCTTATGGATATTTATAGAAGCACATCAAGGAGACTTGGAGGCGATCCGACAAGCTTTGGAGGATCCCGCTTCAAGTTCATGTGGAGCATCATGCACACGGCCACTAGGCGATAGCCCTAGTGAGGTTTGCGAGTTCGAATCTATTAATGATTTACCTAATGATGAACTTGCTTGTGCTAGTGAAAAATTATTACATGCCTTTAACAAATTGCAAAATGATTTCATTAATTTACAAAGCAAGCATGTAGAACTTATATCCGATCATGAGAAGCTAGCTTCCAATTTTGATATCATTTCCAAAGAAAATGTTGCTCTTAAAGAAAGTAATGATATGTTAAAATTGGAAAATGAGAAATTATCATCATCCATTTCTAGCTTATCTCATGCTAAGATTGATGCCATGTTAGAAGTAGAGAACATAAAAAATAACACTGCTTCATTTATAAATGACTATTTATGTTCTACTTCTAAAAATGCATATGTGCCTAAAAATGAAGATTTGAATCTTATGAAAAATAGTATTTCATCTTTAGATTCAACTTTGAGAATATGCATTAATAATCATAAGAAGCTTATGGATATGTGTGCTAAGTCTAAGAAGTCATCCACTCATTATGCACACATGTATAGCAAAACTTATAAGTGTTCTATTTGCGGCCGTCAAGGTCATTTAGCTAAGTTTTGTTATGATGCACACAAACATAAGAATTCTAATGCTCCTTGTGCATCTCATATAGCTTCATCATCTTGTACACTTACACATTCACATGCTCATTCTCACAAAGTTCATCATAAGCATGCTAGTGTGTTCAAGTGTGATCATTGTGGTCGTTTTGGTCATTTGGCCAAATATTGCTTTGATTTAAAAAGAAAATCTCATTTGACAAATGCTTCCAATAGACCACATGTTTTTAAATGTGATGTTTGTGGTAGGTTTGGACATCTTGCTAAATTTTGTTTTGATATACAAAAAGCTTCTAAATTGCAATATGTTCCAAATAGACCATTGTTTAAGAATGTTTCTCATTTGCAAAATAATTTTAAAAGAAAATCTTTATTTGCAAATGATTCCCGTGCACGAGCTAATGGTCCACAAAAACAAATGAATCTCTTTCATTGCACAAATTGCAATCGGAAGGGTCATTTGAATGAATATTGTTTTGACCATGTTAGTGCACCATATGTGCCTAAGAGGGTTCATAACCCTAGGGCCTTGAGCTTAAATGATTCTTGTATCATATCTTTCGTTTTCATGATTATTTTTATTTTTTGAGAGGACTATGTTTATATAACCCTCCGGAGTTATTGGGTGTTTATTCCCAAACATTGTTTACCGGGTGCTAAAAATATTTATATGGGTTAATACTAGCTCAAGAGCTAGATAGAGTTGTCTCTCTTGATTTTTGAAAATCAATGATGATTTGGTTTTATGTTCTTGTATGATTTACTTGTGATTTATGATTTTATTTGATTGATTTGTTTTCATTTGAAAACTTTTTGCGTGATTCTCATGTTCCTTCTTTTGACTTCATAAATCTACTTTTATACATATTTTGTATGTTCTATATGTGTTCTCATTGTCTTTTTGTATGTGAGTGGTGTTTAGCATATTTCTTATTTATGCTTGCTCACATATGTTTGCCATGATATTCATTGCATATATTCCATATGGTATTTTGATAGGGGGAGCAATCCCTATATCTTTCTATATGTTATACTCACCTATACTTATTGATAGGGGGAGCTTTTGCTCTCTTATTCTTTTTGTTTTTGTTTATATGCATGTGAATTATAATTTATATATCCATTTCCTTTCATGCATATATCCTTTTGTAAATTGTTTGTCATCATCAAAAAGGGGGAGATTGTTGGCCTTCTTGTTTTGATGATGATTTACAAACAATTTACTACTAATGTTGTTTGTCTAGTATATGTGTTTTCTTATTTATTATAGACAAACAACGTAGTTGGAGGATTGATGGAATAGAGCTTCAACGATCATATCTAATGGAGGTTGGCGGAATAGTGGAGTGAAGCAATGCACATTCCAGTCAAGATCCAAGTTCAAGCTTCATCCGCAAGATTACCAAGATAGAGCTTCGTTGAAGATCAAGATCATTGCTTGGGTAATTTAGTTTAGGAATTTATATTATGTGTATTAGTACTTTAAGCTCAATCATATACACACATACAAGTTTTACTATGAAACAAATGAATAGAATTGGAAAATACTATTTTGTTTCATGCTTATATGTATATATATATGATTTCATCTTTAACGAGCTTATATTTAATGAAATCATATTTAGTGTTTTGAATATATTTGCATAGAATATGCAATTTCATGAAAATATTGCATTTCTAGGTTATAGACTTCATAACAACATATTATATCTTTTATCAAGTCTATACAATCATTTCATAAGGTTTCAAAATGTTGTTTAAGTCAAAATATCAAAATATCAATTTTCAGGTTTTCATGTTTTGGACTATTTTGTAAAATGATGATATTTTTCATTTGGGAAGTCCTTTTTCGAAACCAGTCGTTGTAGCATGTTTTATATTAATTATTGCTAGTTTGCTATTTGAGTTAGATTTCATTTTACTCATTGTTACACACACCCACATTGAGCTTATAGTATTTGCATACATAGTATAGTTGGGTGGTGAGAGATTGTAACCTTGAGTTGTGCTTTCATTGTGTTCTCATCTATTGTAGAGAACAAACTTATATTTGTTACATTGTGAGTGTTGTAAGGTTTTCGGTGAGCTAGAAACCGAGTGTGTAGTGAGGTTTTCGGTGAGCTAGAAACCGAGTGTGAGGAGTGACGTTGATCGGTGAGCGTTGAAAACCGACACTGTGAGGTGTAAACGTTATTCGGGTGAACGTAGAAAACCCGGTTGATAGTGGATTTCTCCCCGGGAGTGGGGAGCGGAGACGTAGGACGGAAGGTCCGAACTCCGTGATCATATCTTGTGTTTGAGTGTGCTTTGGCGTTTATTTATACTTGTGTTTATAATTCTTGTTGCCATTGTCATTAGCTCATCATTTATATGATCCACTATCTAGTTCATATTGTTTACCCTTGTGTTAGTTTATATATCCTTGCATATATATTTCATCATATAGGATATATCTTATTGTTTACATTGCTTATCCTAGCTTACAAATATTGTTGTATTTCATACTTGCTAGGATAACGTATTAATTGTTTTTAATTGGCATTTAAATCGGATTAGATTAGCATAAGACCCTAATCACCCCCCCCTCTAGGGTCTAACACTTACTACTGGTTATGGCCTCTACCCTGCTAGCCTCCTGCTAGTGCACTAAGACAATCCTTGGCCCTATGGATGATCTTGTTGTAGTTGTAACATGCATCCTGAATCCTACATTGTTGTCGCGCTCTAGAATCCTACTGTGATCCCTTCTTATACTGTCCCTGCTGCTGATAGTGAAAATCATTGCCCCGATGCTGGGGTCCTTTAGGTCCTGCAAAAGGTCTATTGCCCTTGCCCTTATCACTATGTTGTCCTGCCTTAGAACTACCTTCCTTGGTCTTCTGAAAAATCACAGTCTCTGTCTCCTACAAAATAGCAGCATCAGGTACCTCTCGAACTGAGTGGAACCCTCTAGAAATGAGGTAGCAGCGAAGCCTTGGTCGAAGCCCTAAAAGAAACATCTGAGCATAGCGCTCTCTTGTCTGCCACATGCCCGTGAAGCGAAGTAAACTCATGAATCTGCTCTCGTAGTCAGCTACAGACATGTCTCCCTGCTCCAGTTTGGATAGTTCTAACTCTTTCCTGGCCCATGCCACGGAAGAAATGTACTACTCGTCAAAGAAATATATGAAATCCTCCCAAGTGAGTATCATCCAGTGCTTCAGGGTGAATTGAAGCATATACCATCCTCTAGCATCACCCTTAAGGCTGAAAGTTTCCAACCTCTGCTTCTATACTGAGTCGACATCAAGTAGGTCAAGAATATTCCCCACGTCTTACTTCCACTTGTGGGCTACTAATGAGTCTGATGATCCCCGAAACTTTGGTGCTCTCATCTTCTGGTACCGCTCAACTAAATGGAGCCAAGTCTCCTGCTCTGTGGTCCTGTCAATTGCTGGTGGTGGTGTAACTCCTGGTATACCTTCTACGGACTCCTCTGCAATAGGTTTAGCTGAAATCACTAGTGGTGAAATCACAGGTGGTAGTGTAACTAGTAGAGTCTGGTTCGCCACTTGCTCCTCAAATGCTACTAGTCTGACTGTTATGGGTGCCATGAGGTCAATTAGATACAGTGGAGCCTGCTACGACTCGGACTCTGCTTGGCCAGCTCTCCAGGTACGAGTTCTTTCTCGACCACATTCTCGTCCTGACATTTATAATATCAGGAGGAGAGCTTATTAGACACAGTAAGTGAGATCGCAAACATATATATATATATATATATATATATATATATATATATATATATATATATATATATATTATATAATATTATATATAGAGAGAGAGAGAGAGAGAGAGAGAAATGGGTATGTTTGGTACCAAGCATAAAAAGTTGTGCTTGGTAGTGATGTGGCATAATCCCCTCCACTCATTCAAATAGTTACATATCCACATGCACTTCTCAACCCATATGAATGTTGTCCCCCATTTGAATTAAGGGTCAAACGACGATGGGTTCACCCCAAACTTGGTGTGTTAGGATTTTAGAATATGTAGATCAAGTTCAACAGAGCAGATCATCCACAATGTAGCTCAATCATGTGATTTTAGGTAGCGTCCTTAGATGATTATAGACTCTATACATGAATCCTAAGAAACTCTATTCTAGCTCCACGACTCAACACAGGATGATCCTAAGGATGTTAGAACTAGAACTCTAATACCAACTGTGACGCCCGTGTTTTCATACATGGCTGCAGTCCAAGGTGAACTCAGAGATGTCAAACTTGTCATGCACTCACACTGTGCAACAACATGTTTCACCATCACAGTAATATCTTTCTAGTAGAATCAAATACAAGTGCATGTGCAAAACATGTAAAATAAGGGAAATAAATACAATAGACATGTTGTAGAAAGAGATATCTAATATATATAATTATATCTCAACAGAATACAACTGATGTCTGAAATAAATATGAAGTATCTTAATATGAGTCAACTAAAAATAAACTATGGCGCACAGTCTTTACAAGATAAAATACAAAACTCTAAATGCCTAGAGATAAATATCAACTATGGTGGAGTCTCATCTACTAAAAATATATAACGGTGACTATACTGGAAGTCTGTCATCCTATGACTCTCCGGAACTCTGAGCTACTGCCTAAAAGGAATTGGAAAATAAAAAGAGAAAGAATAAGAGCATCAGAGCGCTACAGCAAGATCATTTCCATCCGCCCTCAGGGGAAGGGCTACTAGATGTGATGGAGGCTCTATCTATTAAGCATAGTCTACCTTGATCATTTCTCATGTATCTAAATAGAATTAATATTTAGAAACCTACAACATGAGACGTAGTACGTCGAGTGAAATAATCCAAATAAGGAAACCCTCATGTATATAACATATGTCTCAAAATGTAGATAACTAAATATCAATATCGGATAAAGAATAAACAATCTAAATGGAATCAATAATTAGAAACTTACAACACAAGACTGGTACGTCGAGCGAAATAATCTAAACAAGGAAACCCTCGTGTATATACCATATGTCTCAAATTGTGATTCACTAAACATCAATCCTAACTAAGAATAAAGGATAGTAATACAAGAAAGTAAAATTATCACAATATCGGACCAAAAATGTCTTCCACTATCCTTTGGAAGATAATGTAAACAACTGCATATGATCCCGTTTACTTACAAGAGTAAAGTATCTTGGTCATATATAACTCAGCGATGAGTCATGTTCATAAATGGCTCCACCAAGACCCAGGCTATCAGATTATTATCATAATGCAAATCCTTGCAAAATTTATAATTCATCGCATTATTATCCGGGACGGACTACCAAATCGGCATCCTAAAAGTGTACATGGATTATTAGTCTAATCACATCAACGTACGAGACGGACTGCCAAATCAGGCATCTTAGGTATACGGTTCACAAGGCTCATCGCATCTATGTGCAGAACGGACTACTAGATCAAGCATCCTAAAACCCGACTCAATGGTCTGTATTAATGGTATATCGACGCACTATCCCAACTAGTACTGAGCGGTGCTCATCAACGATATCCATACAAGTATATAATGTTTAAATAACTCATATCTCTCACGTAATCAAAATAATAACTGTATTAATCCTCTTCGAGATACCCATATGTGTGCTTCGACACTATACGTGTATACTCATGATTGTACGTGTATCATCGTGCGCCTCGAACCCCATATTCAAAAACAAAAGGGTGTAAAAAACAACACTTCAAACAAAAGAGAACACAGGTCGGTCGACCGTCCCTAGGGCGTCGATCGACCAAACACAAACGTGCACAAAGTGCACTCACAGGATCTCACCAGTCAACCGACTAGCCTTCATCGGTCGACCGGCCAGAGAAGGTTTTCACAGATCAGGTTTTGGTGTTTGTATTTTTGTAATTTTATTCAAAAACTTAATTTTATTAACATGAGGCATATAACAAGATTTAAATTTTCATATTTGCTTAACAGCGATTAACTCAACATGATTTAAACTCTTGAATTAATATGGTTAGTATTTAGCAACTTAATTAACCAAAATTTCTCAAATAAAACATAAATTATCAACATGATTAACTAAGCATGATTGGAACTAAGCATTGAACATATATAAAATAATTTAAACATGTTCACATCACTTAGGAATCACAAACCTAGGGTTTATACATCTTAAATTAAAAAGAAAAGTCAATTAATTGTTAAACTAAGGTTTAAACATGATTTAAGCATGATTAATAAATTAAAATGAAAATAAAAGCAACCCTAATGATCATGATCATCAACTAATATAAACAACAACTAAATCAACAGATTTTCACAATGGTTTAAAGATTAACATCATAAACTAAGATTTTAAAATATCGGTTTAATCTTTAATATGAAATTCATCAATTAAACATCTTAAATCATGAAATAACTACATGAAAAGGTTTGGAGAAAGATGATCTTTCCTCAAACGTTATGTTGAACTCCTAAACAGGTGCGTGCAAGATCCCTCTTCACCAAAGTCGCAAAATCCCGCCTTCCTCTCGACAAACGCCTCAAGAACTCTCCCAAATCTCACAAATTATGATTAGGATTTGAGAGAGAGGTAGAAGAGCTGTTAGGGTTTGGAATAATTATAAAAAGATATGTTTTTTGAGTATATACATGTATATATATATAACTGTAAACCTGAATCAAACCAGTCTAAACCCGAAACAGGAAAGCTAGTCAGATTAGAAAAATAGTCTTCGGTATTTTGGCTATAACTTCTACATATGACCTCGGAATGGGGTAATTTAAGATGCATTGTAAAGATATTGATGATACCTACAACTTTTGACTTTTTAGTTTTTCCAGATTAGAACTATATCGGTGTGTAATGCAGATATACGCTTAACTGGTTATTTTTCTAGATTTCTTCTTTGTGCATGTTTAACCTATGTATACTCTCATATATACTCTTAATTGATCTCCAATCAATTGTTAGTATAATCATTTATCCATAAATGATATTCATTAAAATTAGAGCTCATTTATCAATATAATTCACACTACTTTCTAAAATTAACGGGGTTTTATAGGAATAAGCACAAGGAGTGTACATGGTAAGAGTCTATTCACTAACTTGAAGCAATGTCCACTGTGAATAAATGAATGTACAACAATGTAGGAACATCTAAGCATCTTCAATAGGACTATGACAAGTTAGCAGTGACAGGGTCAAAGCTTGAAGATGTGGACAATATTGATGGTTCTTCTGAACTCTCTTTCTAGGGGTTACGAACATCTGAAGACATCATTGACAGTAGGTAAAGATACAATCACCATGAACGCGGCTACAAGTGCTTCTCACACAAGAGTTTCAGTGACGGTGTTAGTGATGAAGTAGATGTTGGATTGGTGGCAGATCAATCAAAATTGAAATACGACAGATCAATCAAAAATACAGAGATATAAGTGGTTCGGCAATTTGCCTATGTCCACGAGGAGAGGATGGGGAGATTCCACTAAATCAAGGAGAGTAAAAAGGGTTACAATCTTACAAAACTCACAAATTAACCCTCAACCAAAGCTCTCAACTTGCTCATAATATCTCCCTCTCACAATGCTCAAAAGTCCCTCTAATCTCGGATTACAACTCTCCTCTTTTTTTGATTTATCCTAATCTCTTTTAAGGCGTTCCATATATATAGAAAACGTAAAACCAAAACAGACTAGGAATTCTAAAATCAAAAACAAAACAAATTAGGAATCCTAATAACCTATTACCAAAAAAGATTAAGAATCATGTTACCAAAATAGATTAGGAATCCTAATAACCTCTTACCAAACCAGATTAGGAACCTGCTATCCAAGAATTCTCCACCTCGGTGAAGTATTCCCAAATTTGAGCCGACTCCAACATGAGCACCAATACGTCGTCTCACCAAATTTGGCTGCATCAATGTGGTTGCCTACGTACCCCATCTCCCAAGGGATCAAGCCGCCTATAGTTCATCCAAATAACCGTCAACGGCCTCAACAATTATGAATGTGTAACAAGCTTCTACAATGATCAAACTTATTACTCAGAACTACCTTAGTGAGTATATCCGCCGGATTATCCTTCGTGTGGACCTTAATGATCTCCACATCACCATCTTCAAGAACATCCCGAATGAAGTAACAACGAACGTCAATGTGCTTTGTCCTCGCATAAAAAACTTGAATCTTCACCAAATAGATAGCACTCATACTATCATAATGAATAGTGACAGACCGCTATGATATACCAAGTTCCTCCAAAAGACCTCAAAACTAAATAGCCTCCTTCATAGCCTCTTTTATCGTCATATACTCTGTCTCTGTTATAGACAAAGTCACCGTAGACTGTAAGGTGCATCTCCAACACACCGATGTACGGATTAAAGTGAACACATACCCTGTAGTAGACCAGTGCTTATCCAAATCCCCTGCATAATCTGAATCAACATAGCCAATGCATAACTATCCGCCTATAGTGTCCCACTCATAAACCAAACCAACATTGAGTGTACCTTGAATGTACCTCAAAATCCATCTCACGGCG